AGGGTGAGGTCTAGGTATCGAACCCTGGGTACTGCATCCGCTACCGCTAAAAGGTGAAAACCGTTTCATTACCAAATTTTAGTGGCATATTCCTTGATTGAGGACAACTATAGTTTGCCCTACTCGGAGTAACATATCGCTGTGAGTTGGACACCTTGGATTGAAAAATTCGGCCGAGATTACGGTTTCTTGTGGTTGGGGTTTTCTGCTCGAGAGTTTGTGTGTTTTTTGTAGTGGGATATCTTTCAATAGTGGATGATTAGAGTGTGATCTGGTTGGTCGTCGGCTTAGGCGGCAGGGTTTGATGGTTTCACGATTAGGGTTTGTAAAAATGCTGTGGCCCACTCTCAGGGCTTGATTGGTGATGTTTCACCCTTCAATGGGACCACTTACTTTTTGTGATGGACGCCAGGCCCGATTCCTGGCTTTTTCAAAATATAAGGGACGCCAGGCCCGGTTCCCGCTCTTTGAAAAGAAGGAAAAAAGCTCCGAAAGTAACAAAACACTACAACTCGCAACGAGGAGATGAACCTACGATGAAACGCTCGATATGAGAAAACTCAATCTCCAGAGGTCTGTAAAGTAGATGATCTTGGCCCCAAGTTGTCCTGTCCCAACCACGATTCTCATGTCGGCGTCGAAAGGTTCGCTTCTTTGCTGATGATCCATGAGGGGTCCGAGGGGTGCGTGCGGTCCGAGGGGTCTGAGGGGTCTGAGGGGTCCGAGGGGTCTCGAGAACTTTCCAGTTATCTGGTAAATTGTATATGCTGGGGGCTGAGCTTTGCCTTTTGCGTTCAAATTTTCTGGCTGCATGATTCAGCAAAGCCTCCAACTTTGTCTTCACACCGGAAGTCACGTCATCAATGATGAACTTTTTATCCGTTTTGTGTGCAACCACACTTGAGCTCCTTTGGCGAGTAGTTCCCAGTACCTGTTTCCCAGGTAACACCCCTATAGGCGATCCAGAGTCCTGGACGTCAAGGGTAGCACCCCAACCAGCGCCACCATCCATCTCCTCCAGATCTTCCAGGCCAGCGCCCTGTTGAGACATAGCAGTATGACTGGCCTCAGTTGGTGCCGAAACAAATGGCCATTGGTTGCCTGCTGAGATTGGCCTCTGAGAAGGCTGTCCACCCTTGAGGAGATTTCTTGATGCTTTGGGAACCGCGGCCGCAGGATCGTTGGCACCCCCACAGTGTGGACGTCCTACGAGGGCATCATCCACCTGGCATCTGTCTTTCCCAATCTGGAAAGTCGGCTCACGACCAGAATCAGCAACAGGGTCAGCAGAGGCGGCAGGGCTGGTGGCAGGACGAAAGCGTACACGAGAACGGATGGCAGTGGTATAGTAGGCAGTAGCAGCCCTAGCAGGAGCAGGAATGGCAGGAGTGGGTCGTGCCTGTGGTTGTGGGGGAAAGCTTGCCTCGAATGGCAGGCTGCTGGGAGAGTAGGATAATCTCTCCTTGTGACGGTGACGATTTCCACGCCAACGAAATTCATAGATTAATGGACTGGCAAAGCGTGACACGAGGTTCTCGAATGTTCCAGCGGGCATCGTCGACACTGCCCGGGTGCTACACACTGTAATTGGGCGAGTCCCTTTACCATTGTCCTCTGAGCCGCGTTTCTCTTTCTCTCTGAAAGCCATGCCAGATAGGAAAGCCCCACCCCTTTTCCCCTGTCCGGACTGCTTTTTCAGCACGTCTGCAAGCTTCTCAGACCTCAATGCAGCGGCCAAAGCAGAACCATTCACTTCTTTGTAAATGTCATGCGGGAGAATGCTGTATAACAAGCTGTCTTCATTATCAGGATTAAGGTCCATGGCAGCAATATCTGCAAGCATCTGCATTCTTGCAGCCTGATTAATTCATTCCCGTCCATTTGTCCGACTCACTTCCTCCCCCTACCCCCCCACCAGCGAGTCCCAGCATCTGCACCACGGAGTCGCTCCCAGTCACAGCAATTAAATTTATTCAATCCAAAATGCAAACAAACGATCAATGTCCCAACCACTGTCAGACATCTTTGGCCATGCAAGTGCCTGCATGCGAGAGAGAGAGAGAGAGAGAGAGAGAGAGAGAGAGAGAGAGAGAGAGAGAGAGAGAGAGAGAGAGAGAGAGAGAGAGAGAGAGAGAGAG